AAAGACGCTACTTGCTAAAACAACTATTAGATATCTCACCCCAGTCAGAATTGCAAAATTTGACAGAATAGCAAGCAACAAGTACTGGTGAGGTTGTGGAGAAACTGGAACCCTTATTCACTTTTGGTGGGAATGTATGGTGCAACCCCTGTGGAAAGCGGTATGGCGCTTTCTCAAAAAGTTGCAAATAGAGATACCATTTGACCCCACAATTGCACTACTGGGAATATACCCCAAAGACATAACTGACATCTAAGCAGATATATGCACACCCATGTTTATCGCGGCTTTGTTCACAATAGCAAGGAGTTGGAAACAACCTAAGTGCCCATCAACAAACGAATGGATAGAGAAGCTTTGGTATATTCACACAATGGAATACTACGCTGCATTTAAAAACAAGGAACTCATGCAATATTATTCAAAATAGGTGAGCCTGGAGGACATTATGCTGAGTGAAGTATCTCAGCCACAAAAGGACAAATATTGCATGGTGACACTGTTGTAAAACAGGACTGACCTCAGCGCTTGGGGGAGACTGAGAAAGATGGCTTAAATAACGTATACTGCATTGAAACAGATGAGGGAGAAAACTGTTTAAAAGGGATATGTGATTAGGTATTTTTGTCATGACAGGAGTCCAGAGCAAAGGCTGCACAGTGGAGTGGACCTGGGGGAGGGTTTGTAAAACAATGAAAGAATTTTACTTTTCCAAGAGGATAGTGTACTAGGAGGGCAGATTGGGAGGGGAGAAAAGTGCAACAATGAATGAGTGGAAACCCAAAGTCTCTGTAAATTATCATTGAAATGAATAATAAATTTTTTTAAAAAGATGCTACTTGCTATTTATGCCTCTTAAGAAGTTATTCTTGACTCAATTTTCTCACCTGAAATGTGAATAATAACTCTAGCTTACAAAGCTACAGTGAGGACTAAATTAGAGGGCAAAACCCAGAACAAAATATACACCTAAGTTCTAAGCACGCTGAGTAGTTTCTATAAAAAACCCCAACAGCTTTGGAGTGCCTTCCAACACACAGTAAGCCCACAGGACTGAGTGGAACTGTCCCAATGTCGCAGGCTGTAAATCTTCACAGAAGCAGATTGCCTCACCTTTGGAGAAGCTGGAGGGTTCGTCCTGTTGACCTCACAGCTCAGGATTTGAACCACTTGTCATTGAAGTTCCTCCTGACCAGCATACAATAGAGCTTACTAAATAATAGCTAGCTAGTATTTCTGTCAGAGTTCTGATGTATTAACCAGAAAGGCTTACTGCACCAATGACCAAAACGTTCAATTCCACCAGCCAACTCTTAGGAGAAAGATAGACAATCTCTTTCCATTAGCATTTGCACCTTCAGAAACCCCATGAAGAATTGCAGTCTGATGGAGAATTGATTGAGTCGGAAGCAATGCTCTGTTAGTGAGCGTTTGGTTTGAGTATTTCTGTGACACATGGGGTCACAATTAATTCTGTTTATCTATACAAATGACATGCACACACTCCTTTGGTGTTCATCTTCACTTAGCTCAATGTTTCTGTTGCTTTGTCTTTCAGTTTGTTGCCTGTGTGTTCTTATCAATATTAAGAGCAAAATCTAACATTTTCTAACCAGTTTTTACTTTGGCCCAATACCATTACAAGCTACAACACAGTGGTTCACTTGCCCTCCATGCCACCACTTTCTTCAAAGATCTGTGAGTAATAAATGCACACAAGTCTATTCAAATACCACACAGGCTGACAGGCACAGTATAAAATCATCTTCGAACTGATCATAACCTGTGAATACATGTTAAAGTGACATCTTCCATTGCAGGAAAACGCACCCCCTTTATAACACATAATGGCTGGGAAGGATTCAACCTTTATCATTTATTATTTTTATTTGGACAACATATATACATATGTACAAAATACCTTCTGTCAGAATCCTCTTTTATAATTTCATTTGATTTACAAAAACGGGACAGCAAAATAACTTAGGTCACTAGTACTGTACAAAAATAAAACTGATTACACAGTTGTAAAGAACAGTATCTTACAGTGTTACAGATCATTCATCTGTTGTGAACGTACATCTCAATCAATCCAGAGTGATGAGTACTGTGCTAAATCTATCTGCAAACTGACAACTAATCGGTTTCTGTAATTATAACTACCAAGAGAATTCTCAAAAGAAGCAAGATGTAGAGCTAGACCGTAAAGCCAGAGCATCATTCCACAATGGTGAAGGGCTTTCTTCTTCCCTAACCAAGGAGAGGAGTTATCTTAACTCTAAAACTATTAAATTTTCCAGAATATGACAACTACTTACAGTATTAGATAAAATGACGTCTCTTTCTCTTTAAACACCTGCAATAGTCTTCCAAAAAATTCGGTTTGGTTAAAAAAGTAAACAAAAATTACTATCCTGCATTTGGATTTTTATTCCATTAAATCCATGGTCTTTTTAATATAAAAAGTAATTGCTCCATAGTTTTAGTGTTCAACGAACTCTAGTAGTTCTATTTGAACCATACTGTGGTAGAGTAAATCTAATTCGAATGCTGGCTCCTGTTTTGTGGCATTTTAAAACACGATTTATCACAAAGAATAAAAAGCCTTGAGTTTATACGTTATGTTACTCTAGCATATAAGAGAATATCAAATGTGTGTTTTCCAACAACTTGTGAAGGCAAGTAGCAACATTTTTGGGAAATAACTTGTGCATTTTTTTAAAACAAGTTGCTGCACTTACATCCATCTAAGTGCTTGACAAAAGCCGCATAACGATTTACTCCTGAATTGGTTAAGATTGTCTTTCACTGACTTTGTATTTCTTTTTCTTCCTTTTATTGTTTGTGGTGGTTTTCTTTTTTTCCTGTGAGGGAACGATGAGTTTTTTTTGCAAGTTAGTGAGTTGCTAGGCAACCCCAAACTCCTCACTCTCTAAAAGGCAGCGTGCAGAGTATCATAAGCGGAACCATTCCATGAGTTCAATAAGAAATAGGCAGCCCACCTATTTCGTATGGAAGAACAGATGTCCTTAAAACTTATTTTGGACACAGAAATTAAAATTTGGTTTAAAAGAAGCGTTTCAAAAATCTGAAACAGAGGTAGAAAGTGTTCTTTATTTTCCTGACATGTTTTCCCATGAGAAAACACTTTCCTTTTTATCCCCTGGACTGCGCCCAGTCCCTAATGTTAAAAGCAGTTCTTTATAGAACCACTAATACAACTACATTGGTTAAAAATAAAAAATACCGTGCTAGTGATGGCTGTTGTATTGGAAGTTGGAGTCAGCTGTGACTCGTGCCTGTTCCAGGCGCCACACTGGTTCCGAAATGAACATTTGCCAGGTGGAATAACGAGTCCACTTTAGGTAGGCACCCTAAGTTTACACAACACGGTTCATAGCACATGTATAAACTAGAGTGTACCGCAGCTCCCTGTTTTAAGTATTGGAGAAAATTGCCAGAAAGCATTATTTCTGAAGAAAAAAAAATGTAAACATTTCCCCCACGGTCACTGCTGACTCCCCTCATTTGAGGTTGCTTCTTCACTATGAAAACTCAGTTCATTTTTCTGGCCACATAAAAGGCCAAAAAAATTTAAGTTTTCAAGTAAATGGCATATTATGGATGTAGTGGTTTAGGCCATTGTAGACACCTAGATACAAGATAGAGTGGTGAGGCTTCTGCTGTAAAAGGTACGGTGATGTCTTTTCCTTTGAACATACTCCATTTGCCTATGGTTTCCAAAAGGGACTATTATGCAGAGTCTCCTCTGAATTGGCTGTGGTGATCTCCACTGGCATTCACTACTGTTTTTCTTCATATTTCAGCTCCCTTTTGCATATCTCTTGCACCTGTTAGTGGGAGTGTTGTAGGAACATGGGAAAGAGACTAGCAACCCTTTCTGCCCCGTCCCCCCAAAAAATAGTTGGCTCCAGAGCTAGTTCCTATTATGCACCCATTCAAATAAAATCCAGCAGCGTAAAAGCCCTGTCCCTCAGTGGCATGATGGCATGGTAAGACGACGTTAACTGAAAGGTTTGGAAAATTTGGAAAAGTTAATAGAGTTAAAATTCTGTTTGTCTGTTGTTGTTGTTGTTTTATCAATACTACCCTCCTTCTCCTTCAGCATCTACTATGTAGTAATATTTTGCCCTCACATCTCTGCCATGATTTCTCAGGGAAACCTGAATATTGTAAAAAGAAGCAGATTATAACATGGTGCCAAACAGAATGGCTGCTTTTCTCCTTAAAGCAAATATTTAACTTATTCATCCTCTGCATGTAGAAACAAAAGTGCAGCTTATGTTCAAAAAAGTACAATTCATACAAAGCAAGGTTTAAAAAGTCCTGTACTTAGGGTAACCTGTCACAGGCTTGTCTAGATTAGTATAAATTCAGACTCTGCATACCCATTGACTATAAGTAACGTGGTTTTTTTTTGTTTTTGTTTTTCAAGTCTTTAGATGACAGATCATGCTGGAGTAGATGTGCTCTTGCATAAAGACAGCTGTGCTATGGCGTTTTCAATCTCAAAAGTTAATGTGATTTAAGAGAGTGGTTTTGCTAATGAAACTGAAGCACACTCGTCATTACATCAAAAGGTTAAGGAAAAAAAATAAAATTTAGAGAGACAGCAAGCATAAAGGGCCCAGGATCACTGTGTAGTAAGCACAGGTCAACTTATCTAGTCAGTCGTATGTACACCAGTGTTGAATCTTGAAAATCCTACCCCAGTCTTGGCTGTGTTCCCTCCCCCCACCCCCCCACCCTCCTCAAGAAAATAAAGAAAAAAAAGAGAAAAGGGGGAAAAAAATAGCATTTGCTTTCCTTCCAACAGTCAGAGACGGGTTCGGAGAGTTGCCTCCGCAAGGGGACCAAGTGTTGACTTTGATCTTAGGCTACAATGTGCTTTTAAAAACATCGCAGGGAGAGGACAATCAGGCCCAAACAGCAGTGACTTCCTAGGCGTCAGTGCGCCCGGGTCTGGTCTCCACGTGTCCTCGGTTTCCTGGGAAGAGTGTTGTCCTTGCGGGGTCCATCCCTCCCTGGTCTCCGTGGGCAGCACCTCACAAGGGGTTGGCCAGCGCCTTTTTCGACCGCTTGATCATACTGGGGTGGAACTCGGTGTGGCGCCGCGCGTGCTTCGTGAGGTGGTCGCTCCGCATGAAGCGCTTCTCGCAGAGCGGGCAGCGGAACTGCTTCTCCCCCGTGTGGGTCCGGTAGTGGCGGGTCAGCTCGTCCGAGCGCGAGAACTTTTTAAGGCAGTCTGGCCAGGTGCAGGGAAAGGGCCGCTCACCTAGGAGAAGGGAACCAAGACAGGACAGGTTGAAGGAAGGAATTGCTCTCCAAAGCAGCCCGCAGCCCCCTGCCAGTCACAGAGCAGACCCTGCCAGTCACAGAGCAGACCCCTCGACCAGAGGGGATGAGGCGCACGCAGCCTTGCCAGTCAGAGTAGATCCCTCGACCAGAAGGGAGTGGGTACACGCAGCCCCTGCCAGCCACACAGCAGATCCCTCGACCATAGAGGAGGGGGTGCACGCTGCCCCTGCAAGTCATAGGGCAGAACCCCCGACCAGAGGGGAGGGGGTACATACAGCCCTTTCCACCTACAGGGCAGACCCCTTGACTAGAGGGGTGGGGGTACATGCAGCCCCTGCCAGTCACAGGGTAGATCCCCTAACCAGAGGGGAGAGGGTGCACACAGCCTCTGCTAGTCACAGGGCAGCCCCACAGATCAGAGGGAGAGGAGGTGCATGCAGCCCCTGCCAGTCACAGGGCAGCCCCACTGATCAGAAAGGGAGTGAGTATGCACCGCCTTGCGGGTGATTCCCTACAGTCTCATATTTTCTTTCTGGTTTTGCTCATTAATGTAGTTGGTTTCATGAGTTCTCCCAGGTGCTCAATGAACTGAATTGAGCATTTGCTAAAGGTGGTGACATCTTAGAGATGGAGGAACCCTGAGGCCCCAGTCCAGCCAACATCCTCTCCCTGCCCCCCAACTGACATTTCCTGGGAGGCCCTGCATGTTCTGCCACCCAGCTTTAGTCTGAACCAAGTTAGAGACCGAAGAAATCTGCTTTCCCGTGAAGTCCGTATTTTAAGTCCTACTGTCTTGATGCTAAAAATAAGTGTGTCCCTTCTGTCACATGATAGTCCTTTAACTATCTGAAGACAGCTATCATGTCTTTCCTTAATCTTCCCTTCTCCAGACTAAACAATCCCAAAACACACTGCCTGCAACTAAGTAGGCTCTACCCCCTGCCAACCCTCCTGCAGGTCTCCACAGCTGGAAATCTTAATGGACTGGACAGCCTCATCTTTCTCCCTCCAGGGGAGCAAGTGGGAGACTCAAACTGTTGACCTTCTTATTAGCCACCCAGCACATCAACTCACCATTCCACCAGGGCTCCTACTACCAATCCCAGTCTCATCCACTTTTTTTTTCCATAAAAGAAAAACTAATATTATTATAAAATAATAAAACATAAGGAAAGACACAGCACTAAGACCTCTCTACTTTGTCCCATTGCGTTTTCACAGGACATCCCACAGGTGGGCCCACTTTACAGATAACAGAGGCAAAGAAGGTTACTCAAGGTCAAACATCCAGAAAAGACCTACCATCTACCTACTCCAGAGCCCAGGGTCTGCACAGGCTAGGCCGCTGGGCTGTCCTATCTTTGGTGACACTGTTTTCCAACCCCTTCCCGTTTGGCTCATTCTTCCTGGATTCTCTCTCGTCTCTGATGCGTACCACCATGATCAGTTCAGGACTGACACCAGGAGTCCCTGGACGGCAGGGATGGCGGTGAAGGCACAGGTCCAGGTCTGGGGAGGACACACACGAGCACAAAGCCTGGAGAAGCTTCTCAGTGTGAGCACGGTCTCCATTCTCCTCGCATGAGTGCGTGTCACCCCCCAGTGCCAAGAGCTGCCTGCCTACTCCTCACACCTTGCCCAGCACAGCCAAGAGCAGCTGCTTAAGAGACACAGGCCATGCAGACTCATTGCTACCCAACTCTCCAGACGCTCCTCCACCAGTAGGTGTGAGAACTGAATATATTCTCACCCATCTCCACCTGCCTGGGACCCAGAGCCTCACAGAGGCTGGGAGCTGCCTGGCTTGGCACATCTGAGTCATCCAAGAATTATTCATTTCTATTTTCCTCAGGTTCTCCTACCCTGTACCAGGGAAATGTAGGGCACACGAATGCAATACAACAGCTTAGATCCCCCCAGTGACAATATATATGTGACTAAGGCTTCCTGTGTTAGCTTCTAAAGCAGAACAGTGGCCTTCGCATCTGGTACAACACATTTATTCTGTGGGAAACCGTGGTGGGCAAAATGGCTCTTTGGCAGCAGATTTGATAGATGCAAATCTGGTTAAAAATCATCCCTGAGCTCAGCCCTGAGAAGCAGCTACAGCAAAAGAGAGCACAAGTCAATGAATGTTGAGCCCTGTCCTTGGGGAAGGGTGACGGTCAGGGGTGCAGGAAGATACCCAAAGCCTATGGTGGGGAAACCAAAAAGGGAAAGGGGAGAAGCTTAAACACTTCCCCTGATTCCATCAAAGAGCCCCCAAAACCAACCAGAACTCAACAATGGCACAGAGTTGACTACATATTTCTATAGGAAGCTCTGGCGGTGTAGTGCTAAGAAGTCGTGCTGTCAACGCTAAGGCACATGGGAAAAAGACAGGAAATCTCTTGTGTGATGTACTGCCTCTCAAAACCCACTGGAGGGAGGGTCAGCCATGGGTCAGTTCTGACTCAGTGGTACACAACAGCATTGGCTTAGATAGAAATTTCACCCATTTCAGCTGATCTCTGAGCAAAAGATGAAATGCATTCAACAAGATTAAGCTTCTGTCCTTGTCACAGAGCAATGTCATACAGGATTTCTCTACCCATCATGCTGCCAACCATTTACATTTAGTATATGCCCCAACTGTAACAATGTAGACTGAGGCTGGTACCTCCAGGTCACTTCTATAGACCAAAGTCTGTTTAGAAATGACAGGGTTATGGGGAAGACTTCTTGTCTATTCCAGAAATCTTCTCGAACTCCAGTGAAGTGTCCACAGAAAAAAAGCTCTTCTAAACAACATGTTCAGGTAAAATTTAAAAAAAAATTGTATGCAATCCACAACCTATTTGTGAGCATGTACTGTGGTTGTGATGAAGTTAAAAGCCTTGCCAATAGTCATTCAAATACTGGGTCGTCCATCCATGATGGGTAGATTTCAGGGGAGTTTTAGACTAAAAGTAGGAAGAAAGGCCTGGTGATCTACTTCTGAAAATGAGCCAATGAAAATTTTACAGATCATAAAAGAACACAAAAGAACACCGTCTGACACAGTTCTGTGAGATGAACCCCCTCAGCTGAGCAAGCACTTAAAAGAGAGTGGAGCACTTAAAAGACATGGAGTGATGACGATGATGCCGTGTCAGGCACCGATTTGTTCTGCCAGACAGGGAGACAGGAGGCTGTCATGCGAGTCAGCGCAGACGTGATGGTGACCAACAATAAAAATACAATAAGCCTCTCTTGTCTTCTCCTTTCGGGAGTTTGCTCTCCAGTGGTTTGGTGATGTGCATGTGAGGAAAAAGATGCAAACCAGAAAGCTCACTGTTTTCTCAGTGCCTGTTAAGACAAAGACACATCAGAGGTGGTTTGCAGGGGGAGCCAGGAGCCAGAATGCGGTTGTGCTTACTCATGGGCACATGCACTTGTTTCTTTCAAGTGAGTCATGAGAAGTTCAATTTACTTGAGTGTATCTCTGTCCAGTGTGGGGGGAAATGGGCCAGAAGACCATTCTGCTGTGTCCTAAGAGTGGAAAAGAAATAAGGCAGTTCCTCCATTTAAGGCACTGGCTGTGTCACAGTGATGCTGTCATGGAGCCTGAGTCAGCTGTATGCACAGAATTACTGAACCTGGATGCTTGCTGTCTGTACAGACTTAAAGTGGAACCAGGGTCCATTCCCACTGAATTGCTTTCAATCTTGTTTGTGGCTGCACGCTCCTGATCACCTTCCACAGCTGTCACTTGTGACTGTTCTTGTTGCTTGTAAGCTGGTGCTGTCACCGACCTGGCATCCTTATCCCTCAAGTGTTTCACTGACAGAAGGGTGATACCACAGAGTCAAGAGCAAAACAGGGCCGTGGTAGCGCCTGGCCTGCACACTTAAATGTACAGATTTCTGAGCACTTAGAAAAGATCTACTTGGAAGTAAGCAGCTCGCATGTAAGCCCCAGGATCATTTGGATTCTTCTGGGATCATTTAGAGAAACATTATAAGCTTCTAGTCAGTGATCTAAATCAGAGATGAGCAAACCCAGAGGCCAAATTGAGCCTGCTGCTTGTTTTGTAACATCCACTCACACTGGCTTACACCCCTCTTTATTTCTATCAAATTGCTGGGAGGGGGAATCAAAGGAACATAGTATCTCACGAGAAAATCATATGAAAGTCAAATTTCCATGTCTATAAATAAAGTTTTATTGGAACACAGCCAGTCTTCTCCTTTTGTGTATGGTCTATGGCCACTTCCCCCTATAACAGTAGAGCTGGGTAGTTGAAATAGGGACTGTATGACTCACAAAACCTAAAATATTTACTGTCTGCTTCTGCTCCTTTACAGAAAAAAGCTGGCTGAGCCCTGATTTAAGCCAAAAGATGTGCACTTCTAACTGGCGTCCATCACAGTTGAGAAAATAACATTCAGGAAGCCAGGCTGGTAAGAAATATGGTGCACTGGCCAGGTAGGTTTGATCAAAGGTAGAGATGGGATCCTTAGCCACTGAGGAGAATTTTCATTTTCATCACATAAGGCATCAAATCAATAATGCTTCATATAACACTAGGCTGGCCAAGCACACATATCTTCAGGCTGGGTCCTACTGTGGGACATACAATTTGCCATTCTTTAAAACCATCCACTTCTGCATGTACTCTATTATGAGATACATTTCAGGGTGTTAATTATAGAGGGAGTTCTGGTGGCCTAGTGGTAAGAAACTGTGCTGCAATCACAAAGGCACACAGTTCGAATCCACCAGCTGCTCCAAGGGAGAAGGATGAGTGATCTCCTATGTGATTTACCGCCTCTGAAAAACCCACTGGAGGGTCAGCTATGAGTCGGTTCTGACTAAATGGCACACACCACCACCAACAGTTAATGCTGGTGTAGTCTTTCGAGAAGTGCCCTGCTAACAACCCAAAGGCAGTCTGAATTCACCAGTGGCTCTAGAGAGCAATGGCAACATCATCCCGTGCAATTCACAGCCTCAAAA